CCGGCCGCGCGCTCTGCGGCTGCGAAAACCCGGAGAGGCGGATCGGAGCGCTCTGCGCTCGAAGCCAACTCCTCCGCGGTCCGGCGGGCTGGGCATGCTCAGTGCGGCCCCGCGCCGCCGCCGTCCGCCAACTCGGAAGCTCGCGCGCCCGGGCCGTGGGGGCGAGGACGCCGGCGTTGCTCGGCGCCCCCAGACAGTGGCAAACTTCGCGGCATCCCCGGAGCTCGCTCGGGCGAGACAGCTATTTCACCAATAAAATCAAGTCCAATTCCCCCTTCCCTGCCCGAACGATGGAAGCTGCGGCCGCCCGAGTGCCCCCGCTGCCGGCGGCCCCTGCCCGCTAGCCCGGGACCAACAGGTAAACTGTTGGGGTGGGGGCGGGGAGGGGCGCGGAAGAGTCCAAGACGCCTGCAGGCTGTCTGTCCCGGTCGGCGCTCCCGGCCACCCTCCTCGCCTCCCTTCCCTAGCTCCTGGAGGGGAGCAAAGGGTTAAGTCGGCCCCGAGCCACCGCGAGCGCGGCCCCTCCGGCCGCCACGACCGCCCGCAGCGCTCCTTGGCGCCCACCCGGAGCGGATGCGCCACGCAGCCCGGCGGGCGTCTCAGAGGCACCGGCCGCGTCCCTTCCTCCCCTAGCCCTCCAGGCCTCCCTCCGCACGCGCCGGCTGGGTCTGCGCCCAGGTGGCGTCGTCTGCGGGGCGAGGGGCGCAGGGCTCGGGGGAGGGTCCCGGAGGCGGGGGCGGCGCCCCGCTGCTCCTCTCCGGGGAAGGGGGCCACCCTCGCCTAGGGCGAGCACTTGAGCCGCCTGCCCAGGCGCCTAGAAAAGTTTTTTTTCCCCCCTCCTTACCCCTCCCCCACCGTTAGCCTGCGCCCAGCTGGGGTGGGTTTGGGTCCATTGGTGAAAAAAGTCACACGTTCCCATCAGCTGCTCCTCCCCTTGGGGACAAGGGGGGTGGCGGGAGGCTGGCTCCGAGGAAGACCCTGGCAGACCTTCAGCCCCTCCACCGCGCCCCCGGAGCGGCGCGTCCCGAGGCTCGAGAGCAGCCGGGTGTCCGCCGAAGGCTGCCCCCATCGGTGCGTGTCTGCGTGCCGGGCAGCGGCGGCATCCAACCTGCTTCATATCCCCAGCCTACAGCGCCACAACGAGCGAGCGAGCGAGGAGGGGGGAGAGGGAGTCTGTCTGCAAAGTGCTGCTCCCTGGTGCTCAGAGGCGGCTGCTCCAGCTCCAACTCTCATTCATTTCGCCGGTTAACATGAGAGATCATGGCCGCCTTCGGGCTTCTCAGCTATGAGCAGAGACCGCTGAAGCGCCCCCGGCTCGGGCCGCCCGACGTTTACCCGCAGGACCCCAAGCAGAAGGAGGTAAGGGCGCCGGCGGCCTCCGCGGCTGCTGGGGCCGCGCTCCGCAGCGCTGACCTGGGGCCAAGTTGGCCCAGCGGGCATCGCCGGCGCTGCGGGGGAAGGGTCGGGGGGGGGGATTGGAGGCGGGGGTCGGGCTGGGGCAGTAGGGGACCCCTGGCGACGGATACTGAGCGGCTGTCATTCCTTGCGCTCCACCGGGGCGCTCGCTCTCCAGGTGCCGGGTCGCTTCCCGGTTATCGGGCCTTGCACCGAGCCCCCGGGCGCTTCACCGGATCCTTCCTTGCCGAAATCTTCCTGCTTGCTTTCCTCACCTTCTGCTTGCTTTATTTTTCTTTCCGTCGTTTCGGTAAATCCTCGTAAACTTTTTGAAAAATGTTGGAATGCAGTGCATCCGACAGTAAGGTCTTTGCGTTTTGCGCCAGCTGAGCATGGGCCGATGGGGGAGGGACCCTTTTCACATTTTCCAGTTTGGAATAAAAGTCGTTTTTTAATCGAAGTGATATTTAGCTCTCTGATCGTACCTTTGTGTTCCCTCTCCCTTTTAAAAATCAATTTTAAGGAGAAACACTGATTTTTTTGTTTTGTTTTGTTTTTTTGTCCCTAGAGGCAATTGGTTTAATTGCTCCAGTCTGTTTTGTATATGTAAAAGCAGGAGAGTTACCTTGGAAGGGAATAGGTCCCAGGATTGCTATTTCTTTGAATGAAATTAATTGGAGAAACCTTGACTCTTGCACCAGGTTACTAGCTTCAATGGCTAGGGTAACCATGGCATTTTATAGCTGTGTATGTGTTTGTCAGGAGTTAACAAGTAATTATGTAACAACTCTCCAGTTCTAATAACGATCACCCTTGGCTACACAAATTGCCCAGGGATTTGCCTTGTCTCTTTTTTTTAAAATCACCTGCTTCCCAGCTGTGCTTTCAGTTTGCCAGCTGCAGCCCACCCATCCTTTATTTTCTTCAGTTAAACACAAATGAGCACTTTTCAGAACTTACCTGTGAACCTAAAAGCCCTCTATGAAAAGTTTATAGACCTGCTGATTTCACAGAAAGGACTTTGTAAATAAAGCAAGGAGGGGTCTTTAAGACTTCCATTTTGATAAATAATACCTGACTGATTAGTGGAGGGTGAGTGCTAGTTCTGGCTAACCTGTTTTGCTAATAATATGTGAGTAATAAGGAGCAACAACTGCTGTTTAGAGGTTTAATGTTAAATTTGAGCATCACTGGACTAAAGTGAAGATTGGAGCTGGAAGGTTTTACAGGTGGTTCCTGGCAGAGGCTCAACAGGAGAGCCAGAGTTTGATGAAATCTTGCAGATTTCTTCCACATCCATTTCCTCACCGTGCTACCTTGACTCAGAATGAAGTGAATTGTTTAGGACTATAAAGAACAGAGATAGTAAGAACTATTGCAGAGAAAGTTAACTTCGAAATGACTAGCAGGAAATCCTTGGAGTTATTGTGGGGACAGTGACATTCATTATCGTTTTGTAATTTAGGTCTTGCCACATCTCTCCAGAGGGTAGTGTAATTGATGGCAGCGTGAGTTTTGAGATGGTGGCTTGGGATGTCATGTGGGCCTACTTAATTTTTTTTTTATGATAACACTCATAAAAGACTCAGGCTGAAAAAAAAAAGACTCAGGCTGGGGTCCTCTGTGATTCTGGAAAGAATAATTATGGATTTCAAGGGTCATTTTGTGGAATTCTAAAACTGGAAGTGACCTCGGAGACTACTCCTAGTATTTTTCTTTTTGACAAAGTGAAACTGAAGCCCAGGAAAACTTTGATTTAACCAAGGGGTATGGTGAATAAGCAGAATTGGATTACCAATCTAGTATTTGTGTCAAAACCTGGTACTGCATTAAGGATGATTTATGCTAAATTGTCTTCCCCAGGGCAACTGACGTTTTATTTCTCTTGAGCAGAGATAGTTATAAGTGAGCCAAGACTCAGATTTGGGTACAATATGGAACAGGTGCTTGGCTGTTCTTGGGTGGTTAGTGAGTAGTTTCCTAAGCTTAGTTATTTATGTATTACTTCCATCAAAATTTCTATCTGTATGCCACCTGTGTACTCTTTATTCTAATGTTTTCCTTTTTTTGATACTGGGGATTGGACCCAAGGCATTCACACTGAGCAGCATCCTTAGGCCCTTTTTAAACTTTGAGACTGGGTTTCACTAAGTTGCTAAGTTGCCCATACTAGACTGAAACTTGGGATCCTCCTGCCTCAGCCTCCCAAATTGCTTGGAATTACGGGGGTGTGCCAACACACCCCTGCAATGTTTTCTTCAAACTTTCAGGGAACTTTTTTGTGTTTCCTAGGGGAAACACATGAAATTATCAATTTATTTCAATATGTATATGAATGTATAAAAATATATCAAATTATAACAATTATATTCTTATCTATTTGGTGTTACGTACACACGCAAAATTGTTAATTATACAGATTCAAAGATGACCATAGCCATTAACACTTTAAAAAGTTGATTTGTGCATCTAAAACTAATGTGGTTCATCAGAGTTATGTGTCCCACATGGTGGGAAATACTGATTTAATGGAGGAAGTGTAGGCTTCCAAATAGGGCAGTTGTGGGTTTGCATTCTGGTTTAGCATCTTTCCAGTTCGAAAGTTGTGTAATTTCTCATTTATAAATTAGCTGAATTGTCTTCATTGAAAATTTGTGGAAAAAGGTTCTCACAGTGTGTGAGAGAACCCTTTCACTAAGTAGAGGCCATCCTTGTCACTGTGTTTGTGGTTTATATTGTTAGTGTTACAGTGGCATCATTGTTCTGGGAAATGGCCCCCAAGGGATAGAGTGGGATTCTTCAATGAGGACCTCTGGTAGAGAAGAATTGGAAAGTAAGAACTGGAAGCCTCAACCTGCTTGATCCACTGATTATATTCATTCAAGAGTTTGCTGTGCATCAGCCTTTCATAGGACTTTATTATATATTGGGTAGAATACTTGCCTGTGGAAACAGACTGTTCTTAAGGTTTTAAAATATGGAATCTGAAAAGTGGGAGTTATTCTTAATTCTTTCTCCTTCCTTAGGCCTCATGTATGTATCAGTACCATACATTCATCAGTACATCTTGTCCAGTCCAGTTCCACAATGTATTTCCAATAAATTTGATACTTTTCAGTTTCACCAACGTGCCTGACTTTCTTTCAGGCTTCAGGCTGACTTTTCTCTGTCTAGGCTCTTGGATGTGCTGGTCCGTCTGCCTGGACCTCGTCTGCCTCCCCTCCATCCTTAACATTCCACCCTCCTCTTCTCACCTTAGCCTGTTGTGGTCAGTAGGTTCTGGAGCCACTCTAACTGGGCTGAAGCCTGGCTTTCTTGTTTACATACTCCTTATTCTGCCCGTGCCTCAGTTTCCTTTCTCATAGAGAAGGGATGAGAATACTGTTTACCTCTCAAGGCTGTTGGAAGATTACACGGATAATACACGGGAGAACTTAGAATCTGGCACAGACTCAGCACCCAAACATTTGCTGTGTGAACTGCCATCAGGTTGACCTCTTTGTCTTTATTCAGGTCCCAGCCCAACAAACTCCTCAGGCCTTTCAGGTATATCATTTGTAATTACATATTTATTTGCATCTTGCCATCCTCTGCTTAATGGGACAGTTTGCTAAGGGCAGTGATGGGGTCTGTTTTAGGCATCATTGAAGTACTGGCACTTAGTGCATTTAGTTCCTAGAATTTTGAGTGCACAAATATTTGCTGGAATATATGAATGAAAGTGGAATGAATGAATACAAAAGGAAATCTGGTGACTGAGAGGTATTGGGGAAAGTCTAGGTAATTGCTGAAAGTGCCCTTTGCATCTGTTTTGGGGGATATAAGGCTCAAAGTGAAATTAAACCTTAAAAGTAGGAAGGAAGAGGAGTTTTGCCATTGGATGGAAAAGGGTTACACAATTGAGTAGTATGTCCAGGAAATCAAATTCGTTGGAAAAATGAGTTGGGGCAAGAGGTTTGTAGGCAGCAAGAGCCCAGTGGTAGGGTTTGGGGGGGTGGGGAGGGTTGGCCTGGCATGCAGTGTAGGGGCTGCCTGAAGAGAGGAAGCATATGGCTTTGGAGAGTTGGTGATGGTGGCTACTGCTTGTGCATAACCCTGAGGAGTATTTCTCTAACTCCAGAGCACATTCTCATTACTTGGAGGACTTGTTAAAGACAAATTGCTGGTCTGGGGTTATAGCTCAGCGGAGGAGTGCTTACCTAGGATATGCTGGGCCCTGTGTTCCTCAATAGCACTGCAGAGGAACAAACAGTAAGAAAAAAACCCAGGTTATGGAGTTTCTGATTTAGTAGCTCTGAGGTGGGGCCCCAGAATTTGCATTTCTAACAGGATTCCTGTGATCTTACAGTGGTGGTCCAGAACCCCACTTTGAGAACCTCAACCTAGAGAAGAAAAGTCACTCTGTTCTGCAGGGGCCAGAGAATTCTGTTGACACAGGTAGGGTTGGATTAGGCATCCCCCTGTGCTTGAAGATACGTACAGTAAGTAGTTTGGTTTCACAACCAACTCAGCCAGATTTTGGTGTCCTCTTCTGAGAAATTGTGCCTTCGTCTTAGCTCAGATCTAAGGGAATGAGTCAGGAGGTCTCAGACCCTCTTCAGTGATTTTCCGTTATGCTTGGAATAACATCCAAACCCTTCAGGGCCTAGGATTCTGACCCTTGCTCACTTCCATAACCGCTGTCTTAGCCAGCCAGCCAGCCTGACTTGGAGTTTCGGCTCTACCACTTGCTGCCTGTTTGACCCAAATTCCTCACCTGTGGAATGAGGTTCACATTTTTTCCTTCTTCACAGGCTCCAGGGAAGGTAGGATGAACTACCATATGCAAAGTAAGTTGAATAGTGTCTGTCACACAAAGTACAGGTCTGTGACTGTTGGCTGACCCTTCGTTAAAGTATCCCAGGGCCTCCCATTGTTCTTACAATATCCATGGGTCCCTTCCCTTAGAGATCTGGGGCTCCAGT